TTTTCACTGAAAAAAAATATTTTCTTCCTACTGATTCAATATTTGGTTATTATTTTATAACGATATTCGATTTTCGATATGTCCTACTACACTACAGGTTATGATTACAAATCTGTTTCTTTCAATTCAACTTGAAAAGCAAAATTCAAAACAATGAAAACAATGGAGAAAAAAAAATGGATTTTGCATTTCTCATTTTCATCCAAAAAAAAAACGTTTCTTTTAGACGGAAAAATCATCCTTGCCTTTTATTCAAACAAGAGGGGAAAAAATTGAATTTTCCGTTACATCTTTTTATCATTATGGAATTTTTTTTTTTGAAGATTTTCTCACTTTTTCATCTTTCCAGATTTCAAAAGTAACTCTTTTTCGTTTTCAATCAGCATTCATGTGTGTTTGTTGTTTGCATTCTACACTTGAAAATTTGACTTTTTTTATAGTCTGATTTCTCTTTTTCACAATATTATTACTATGAAATGAAATAAACAAATATTAAAATGGAAATGGATTGAATGAATGAATGAATGAATGAATGTTGTTTACAATAAAAATTCCAAAGAATTTCCTATTGAATCAATCGATTTTGCCAATTTCTAATGTATATGTTTTTTTTTGTAGGATGAGGATGATGATGATGAAAAAAAATGATGAAAAGAAAATAATCTTTTAACCATCATCATCTTGATGATGATGATAAAGATATGTTGATTTTTGTAGAGAATATATATATGCCATTATACAAATCAAATGGAAATATAAATTGAATCAATATAAAGCGAGAAGAAGAAGAAGAAGAAGAAAGAAAGAAAATATGATATGACTGACATTGACAGAATTCCTTTTCATATTTTTTTTATATCACACTATCATCATCATCATCAAATGAATAAATTTCCTTCAAACATACACCTTGCGAACAAACAAACAAACAAATAATGAAAACATCATTATTATTATTATTTTCACTTTTTTGCACTTTCCTCGGTGTACTGAGAATTCGATAGACATCAAACAAAACAAAAAAAAATCATCATTATCTTGATTGGATGCTAATAATAATAATATTTCAAGACTATGTATTGAACGAATGTATTTCATATATGATAAAATCGAATCAAATCGATAAATTTCACAAGAAAAACAGAGGAGAAATTCTTTACTTTAGTTCTTTTCAAAAAAAAGAAAAGTTTTTTTCCACAATCAATATCGATTTACCCAAGCAAATACTTTATCAATTTTTTCCTTGATTGAACCACCAGACAATGATAATTGATTGAATTTTTTCATTTTAATTTTTTTTCTTTTTCTTTCTTTTTTTTCAAAAAAAAAACAAGGTTGTAAAAATGTTGGCAGTTGTTGTTGCTGTATTTGCAACATTATGGTTACCATATCGTGCATTGGTTGTTTATAATTCATTTTCATTTCCACCATATATGGAATTATGGTATGTTTTTTTTTCTTCTTCCCAAGATGATGCTAATCAGTGAAAATAATATTGAAAATCTTGAATCATCAATTTTGATTTGATTCATCGAAATTCAATTTCAAAATAGATTGATTTAGTTTAGATAAGAGCAACAAAAAAAAATCGATCAATCGATCGATTGATTGATCGATCATAGAATGAAAATCACTGAAAAAATATATATCTAATAAATAAAATATCGATAATTTAACACTTTTCTCTTTCACTCTTACTCCCTTCACATTCATTTGATTATATTTATTTAGGTATTTGATGTTTGCCAAAACGATGATTTTTGTCAATAGGTAAGTGTTTGATCGATTGATGATTTTATTTTCTTAATTTTATTTTTTCTATGATTTTTTTTGTACCGAATCAGTGCAATCAATCCAATTATATACAGTGCATGTAGTATGAAATTTCGTCGTGAATTTAAACGTATGTTAACATGTGGAAGAAAAAAACGTCAATCAACAAATATGGCTAATTATCGTTATACTGCTGGTATTACTACAACAAGACATGGTATTGCTATGAAATCTGTTGCACATGATTTTGGTGGTGGTGGTGGTAGGGGTGATAATGGAATAAATGAATCATCATCAATGACATTCACAATGGGGCCTAATGAATTATCAGAATTTCCCGCAACGAATAATAATAAATTTCGACGAACATCACCGCCATCTAGTGATAATTTAGACTTTCAAACAAATCGATCCAATCAATTTAAACAACAACAACAACAACATTCATCAACAATTAGTGTAACAATTTGTAATGAATTAAAATCTAAACAAGATGAAACAACAGCCGCAACATCGATCAATAATCAATCAATAAAAAATCAACATAATGATAATGATGATGTCCCAACAATTTTGATTGGATACGATAATCATCAACAACAACAATCAACATCGATATTTGATGATAATGATGATGATAATGATCAATCAACAAAAACATTACGATCCATAATATCCAGATCCATTGCAAATGGTTCACAAACAATGAATAATAATAATAATAATAATAATATGATGGATGATTTACAAACAATAAAAACAACAACTATAACAAGTATTGCTGCTGTTTATAGTGATCATAATCATGATGGACAATTTTTTCGTACTGAAACTATATCCAATAATAATAATAATAATGATAATGATCATCAATTGGAATGTCCGGAACATCAATTTTGAATTTTTCTTTAAAAAAAAATTGAATTTTCATTTTGTTTTCTTTGCTTTGATTCGCGAATGATGGAATTAGGTTTAATTGAATACACACACAAAAACATTATGATTATGAATAATTATTGATACTGTACAAACAGATAAACAAAATTCTTTGTTTTTTTTTCATTTTCTTTTTTTTTGTCTTTGATGTGCTCTCTGTTTTATGATAAAATAAACTTTGTTTTTTGTTTTTTTGTATTTGAAACATTTGATTTTTGGTTTATTTTCCAACAATAAACACCAGATGGTGATAATCATTATTCCAAAAAAACAGAATATTCCTATTTCGGGTTTTCAATTCCGACCAAAAGATGGCAATACTTTTTAAAAAAATGAAAGAATTTCATTTATTTTGTCGTCGTCGTCGTCCAACCAAGCAATCATCATCAAAATCATAATCATTCGAAGGTTTATTATGAGAAACTAATAATAATTTGTTCACAATCGAATAGTAGAAGAGAAAAAGAAGAATTTTCGATTCGTTTCAATGATGACAAATCATTAAGGCAAAGTATAAAGCAATGTACGAATTAAACGAACTTTTCTTTCTATCAAAAAAAAAAAAAAATCCAAATCAATAAGAATTTGGTTGTTCGATACAACAAGAAATAAATTATGATATTGATGATGATGATAACGACTTACATTAGTAGTCATTTGTAGCCAAAAAAAAAGCAAAGAAGAAGTAGAAAAGAAACGGGCAACATCGATAATAACCGTTTATTAGTATTTTGGATCGATACAAATTTTTTTTTTTCGTTTTTCATCTGTTTCTTTCACTGTTGTTCCGAAAGACAAATTCTTCACTCTTATATATAGTATAAATTACATTGTGACATTCAAGTGAGAAAAAAAAAGTCAAGTCAGAAAATCTTATTAAAAAAAAAAATGTTGAAGGAAGAGATGAAAAGGGATGCTAATGAGAAGAAGCCAAAAAAAAAGTTATCAAGGATAGGATGTTTTAGGATATCAATTTTTTTGGTTTTGGTTTCGGTTCTGGTACACAAAGTTTCATCATAATTTTTTTTTTGTTGCTCATTTTGAATGAACGACAAGAACTAATCAATGAATGAATGATCAACCAAAGAGAGAGAGTGGGGAAAAATTGGATATTGAAATTTAATTTTCAAACCATCATCAGTAATTTCAATTTTTCAAATGTTTTTTTTTCTACTTTACAAATTCCATTACCAAAAAAAAATCAAAAATCAAAAATGATAGCAATTCCACTCGAAAAACAAAGAAAGAATGGAATTGAAACTTTTTCATTGAAGAATATTCTTTGTCTGATTGTAATGTTGCTTTTTTTCGGAAAAAACAAAAAAAGATGATGAACAAAATTCTTTAATTCTGGAATGTCTCTGGTTGTTGTTTCACATTTTGACAACTTGAAAATAAATAAATAATTAAACCATGAACAATGAACAACAACAACAGTGATCAGTCAATCATTTTCAATGTTCGTTTGTTTGTTTGTTTCCTCATAAGAAGATTGTTGATCTGTTTCTTTTGTTTTCAACGGAAAAAAAATTATTTATTCTAAGTGCTGTTGATGAAACAAAGATTTATAACCAAAATAATCTATTCAGATCTGTGTTTATTTCGTTAATGACAATCAAATTTAAACAAAACAACAACAACAAAAACAACAAAAATGGAAATTCTCAGCATCATTTTGACCGAAAAACTGAAAAAATTTTCAAAAAAAAGTGAAGAAAAACAGAGCAAAGATATCACTGTTGTTGTTGTTTGTTGTTATTTCGCGTTTATTTTCGATCAATATATGTGAATAAAGTCAACATTATGTGTGGGTGTCTAGTGTGTTAGTGGATTCAGTGATGGTCTGATGTTTGTCACTCACACAGTACCCAACATCGATTGAATAAATAAATAAAAAAAAATTCAAGGCAAAAAATAAAAACGACCGACATGACATTGATAATTGAATCATTAATCATTTGAAAATTTCTTTTTTTTCCCAATTCCATTCGTTCGTTCACATTCAAAAAAAAAACAACAAACGAATTGATGTTGTTAAGATCAAAGAAAAGTCACTATGTTTATAGATAGTGACATTTTCAAGTGTAATAAGATTGAAGAAACGAAAAGAAGAAACATCAACATAGTTTATCTAGTTGGCCTTTTTTTCTCGAGCCTAAAAAGATTTTTTTCGGTTGATTTTTGTGTTTTTTTTAGCATTCTCCATAGATATAGCCATTGATAATTTGTTTGAATTTATGTTCATCATATACAAGGATGTAATCCTGGGAATCCTTGTCATCGTTTTTTTTTTTTGCTTTTGCCAATTGATCAATTAATGATGTTTGACAATTTCTCTTTCTCTCAATTTGTCAATCACACACCCCCGCTCCAATAAAGAAAGAGAGAAAAAAAAACCATATTGCTTCTGTTAAGCTGATTTGAATTAGGCTTTATGTTGTGCATCAACATCAACAACAACGACAACCCAAATCCAAAAGCCAGCAGGCAATTTCCTCAAACATCATTTCTATTCAATTTGATTAAATGTTAGATATTCAAATTCTTATGTTAAAATAATTTTATTTATTTTCTTTCATTTTGGTTTTGCCTTGTTTTGTTCCATTATCATCATTTTCATTACGTTTCAAGATTAAATAAATTTTGTTTTGTTAAATGTGCGTATTATGTATGTGAAGGAAAAAACAAAAGAGAAAAATTTCCTATGTACATATTGCGAAAACAAACAAACAAAAAAACAATAATAAAATGAAAATTGTCATTTTTTTTAACGATAAAATTTGACATAATATTCGTCCGGATTTTCAACACATATTCACAATTGAATTCATCCATGAATGACGGTTATTTAAAGATGAAAATGGAGAGAGGAAAAAAAACAACAAAATTCTCAGGAAAATTGAATTTCCCTTTTTTTCTGTTTTCTGTTTTACATTTCAAAGAGTTATTTGATTTTTAATTTTGTTTTTCTTTCTTCTTCTCACTACATTGATTTGGTTTTATATATTGAAAATTGGTTACACACAATCACACACACAGGGAGAGGGAATTTCGTAATACAAATTTCTTTATTTTGGATTTCTAATAACAAAAAAAACAAACAAACAAACAAACATAAAATAAGGTTTGCAATGTTTTCAGTGATTTAAACTGAATATTGAATTTTTCTGAATATTTTCATTTTGGAACAAACAAAAATTACCATTTTTCTTTCATTTTAAACTCCCCGAAATAAATAAAGATATCAAATTCAAATTAACATGTAAAAAAACACAGAGAAAACCACAAAATATTAAAACAGCATAATGATATGGATTTTTGTCTGTGTTTGTGTGTTTTGATGTTTTGTAAAAAAATTTTCATTCTCAAAACAAAATAAACAATATTTACAACAGAAAAAAAGAAGAATGTTTTACATGGAAATTCTTTTTATGTTTGTAAACAGAATGACAAATATCAGGCTTTAATCACATTAAAAAAAATGATTTTTCATCATCTATGTTGTTGTTGTTGTTGTTCCGGTTGTTGTTGTTGTTTGTTTGTTTGTTTGAATTATTTTTTATTATCATCATCGTTATCGATAAATAATTCAGATTGTAATCGATTTGAATGTTGTTGTTGTTATTGCTGTGTTGTAATTAACCGTAAGCTATTTGTATTCGCACAACCTCTTGTCGATTGTTGTCGTTGTAGTAGTTGTTGTTGTTGTTGATGATTGTTTTGATTACCAGCCATTAATGTTTGATCAAAATTATAGCTAATATGTTGTGGTTGTTGTAAACGTCCTAACATTTTTTTAAATGCATGTTTAAAATTTTCATTACATAATGCATATAAAAATGGATTTAGAAAACTATTCAGATATCCTATGAAACGTGAAGAAACAAAAAAAAAATATTTTTTTTAGACAAAAATTTATTAGAAGAAACAAACTTACCCAACCAAATAGTCACCTGATGAACAGTTAAACTAATACAATATGTACAATATGCTGTTACAACATAGGTAATTATATATGGCATCCAACAAAGTATAAATGCACCAAGTATAACACCTAATTGTCTTGCTGCTTTTTTTTCCTGTCGTAAACGTGAACTTTCTTCACGTTTCAATTCATTTCGATGTCTTTGGGCAGCCGTTATTAATGGTGATTGTCGTTGTTGTTGTTGTTGTTTTTGTCTATGTTTACGTTGATTATTATTATTATTATTACATTTACAATGATCATTATCATCAGCCACTACTGTACTAAATCCATCACCATTATCAATAACATCAACATCATCATCATCATCATTACAGGTAGTTTCAATTGAATCAAATTGATCATTCTGATTATATTTTGTTGTTGTTGTTGTTAAACGAAATGATTTCATTCGAAATGAATCATAAAATGAATTATTGGATAATCTTTTCCAATTACAAACATTATTTTTATTATTTGTATTTTTATAACCACAAGATGATGATGTTTTTATTTTATTATCACAGATCAATGATGATTTACTATTATTATTATTATTTTGTAATTTATTATTATTATTACGATTTTTAATTAATAAAAATCTTGATTTTTTTATATTATAATCATTATGATTTTGATTACATAATGAATGATTTGTTGATGAACCATATGATGTTTGTTCACATTCAATTGGTAATGTTTCGGGAATTTTTGTTATCAATTTTGCGGATGTTTTTCTTAATGATAATGAAGACATTGATGATGATGATGATGAAAATGTCTGTTCATTACTAGTATTTGTTTGATTATTTTTCAATTCAATTGATTTATTTTTGTTTATTGATTTTTTTTGTTCAATTTTACTTGATTCGATATCGTTGGATTTTTTTCTTCGTTGTTGTTGATGATTTTTTACGCATAATTTATCCATATGAACATTATTATTATTTGTAACTAAAACTTTGTTATTATTCGATTCACAAACATCATCATTATTATTACAAAAATTTGTTTCCGTTGATAATGGTTTAATAGTAGCCATAGACATTGTTGTTGTATTTAATGTTGCGGTTGATATATTATTAGCTAATGATGATCTAGCTATATTTTCTATTGATTTTGGCTTTAGGCTTATTTCAATTTGTTCCAATGATTTAATCGTTGATACATCTTTGAACTTTTTATCATTATTGTCGTTGTCGTCGTTGATTTTTATTGCCATTTCTTTTGTCGTTGCTGTATCGATTACGGCTAAAAATTTTGATACAAAGAAATAAAAAGAAGAAGAAGAAGAAAACATGAAAAAACAGTCATTTATTTTGTATCTATTGAATGTAAGGAGAAAAAGTAACAAAAATGAATCTTTTCGGCCTTGGTATACACGGTTAACATTAGTTATTTTTTTCTCAAAAAAAACCCAAACATTATTGATCAAAACAGAAAACAGATCAGAATAGCGAAGATCAGAATGAACAGAAAAAAACAAAATCCAATCAGAAAAAAAAATCAGATCGATATTTTGTTTTCTCTCTCTCGTAATATACTTTCAATTTGATCAAATCAATATTTTGTTATCATTTTTATTTTTTTAAGAAAGTCAAGATTCAAATATTATGCAAATCAATTTTGTTGTTGTTGTTGTTGCTTGTATTTCACATTAATTATGATTGAAATATGCATATACAGACAGACAGACATACAAAATGAAGAAGAATAAGTGAGAATATCGAGCAATGAAATCAACAACAACAACTGATCATCATCATCATTTTGACCGATCGATTGATTTCTTTCTCTCTCTCCCTCTCTTTTTCCATTCAGTTGATTTCGATGATCTGATTTATTTTGATATGAAAAAAACCGAATAAATGAAGGAATGAATGAATAGACACACGTCTCCGTTTCATCTTCTCCCCATAAGATAAAAATACATTCATTTTTTTT